TGAATCATATGATCCCATAAGCCTTGATTCTATTGTTACTAGTCACTGGTTGTCAGTAGAGGAAGAAGATATCTTCTAGGCACAAGGAATTGGATATTGATGAGCTGGAAATGTGACACCCCAACTGAGGCAAGGTTTTGTAATTCAAGGGTCAATGATTCAGTTCCAATTTCGAGGACGAAATTGTTTTAAGGAGAGAGGAAATATAACATCATATTTTCGAGTTTAGGTTCGACCAAGGTTCAAATGAGAGTTGGAAGGCGATTGGAAATAATTAAAGTGTTGAAAAAGGAGAATAGGCTAGAACACCAACCATGTTGACTAGACCGTGTTTGCTGAAGCGAGTCTTTTTGACAAAGCGGAAAATGAAGCGGTACATGCTGGAACACGGGTCTGAACACGACTGTGTTGCCAGATCGTGTTCACTTAAATGATCATTTTTATTACCATGTTTAATTGACCGAGCTGTTTTCGAGAAACCAGAAACGTAGCATAACACACGCCCGTGTTCGATAGTCGTGTCGCTCGTAGCATCGTGGTACGTTGAAGGACAATTGGAACGGGGATGGTGGTTGGGGAGAACACGACCGTGTCCAGTGCCCATGTTGCATCTGTATAAGAACATGCAGATTCTTATAGCCGACCTTTTGGCACCAAAATATCCTCCAAATGCTCTGGTTGAACAAAGGAAGAAGGAAAAGAAGGAGTGACTGACCCATCTCCCTCTCGCCCTCATCTTTCCTCCGTCGACCCTCCAGCATTGTCGCCTCCCGTTCTTGGTGTTGTTCATCGATGGAAAAGATGAGGAGTGAAGAGAAGAAGGAAAACAAAGGAAAAACTAGGAGTCCCAGCGCTGAATTTTGGTCGAGAGAAGGTCATAAACCATTCCACGGAGTCAGAATCCAAGTTGGTGGTCGTTTGATGGGTCGTCGGAGATTCGCCGAAGTATGATCGGAGAGTCGCTGGAATCTGGAAAAGTACAAAGTTTAACCAAGTTTCAAAAGGTGGGTATGGTAGCGTAGAGGACAATCTCGAGATCGTCACCGTGTCGACGATATCAAATTCCGACGTCGGATGAAGGAGAACGGAGCCTCGAAAACTTGGAGAAAAATCTGTCAAGTTCAGGTGACATTCTTGATAATTCTAAAAGTTGGAGAATTGAATATGTTATTCTCCAGAAGGGTCAGGGTCAATGTTGTTGACTTGAAAAATTACATATTTGGTACTTGGTACTTTGGAATCTGACAAAATTCTTATTTTTGCTATTACTTGTTCGTTTAACGTCCAAACGAGGAGCCCTTGGCGCCTATGGAATCGTAGAAGCGAGGAGCTTATTTTGGGAGTGAGTATGAAAATTTTAGAGCAGAATCAGAGTCGGTTTTGAAGGATTCGAGGTGAGTGTAGAGGGGGTATTTCGAAAGATATTTTGTTTCATGGTAGCCTGCTCTAGTCCCCTTACGAAACTCTCGTTATTGGGTTAGTCATATAGTGTACATGTTTCTAGCGATTCACATGGTATCATCAAATGATACAAGTCTTGGAAGGGTTAAGGATTTACCTGGTGTGAGATATCACATTGTTCGAGGAACCCTAGATGCTGCCGGAGTAAAGGATCGTCAACAAGGGCGTTCTAGTGCATTTACTTATAGTAGTTTCGTTTATTTTACTAGTTATGCGTGATTATGTGTGTGAGGCATCCCACTGCCTACTTAAGGTGGAGGCACGCGTTGTGTTATGTATGTGTGTGTTTGTGATGTATGGATGTTGGTAAGATGAACCCCCGGGAGGTTGGACCACTACTGGACGCGGTAGATGGTCGGATCAATACTGGACGGCAATACATAACGCAGCAGTTGATCTAGCATGGCATAGTTCGTTATGTTTATGATTATGAGTATAAACTGGGGGTTCAAAGGTTAAGTTTTTATTGACTATGTATTTGAGGTCTCCCACGTATATAGGGCATTGCATTTGATGTTTTTCTTGGAAATGATAAGTGGTATTTGAATTTTGGGCTTTGTTTTTAACCGGCTCTGGAACCATCAGTATTTCGGTTGTGTAAAAGTATCTGAATGTTACATCAAACTTTTACCGCGGAGAATTCTAGACTAGTTTCAAGTCTCTGTTCGAGTTGTAAAACCCCTCTCAATTTCTCTACCCGGAGGGGAGTACCACATAACCGACCTAGGCAATTGAGGCGTTCAAAACCAACTCACTTGATTGGACAAGACCCAATACAATATGGATCCTATCACACTCATTCAAAGACCCATATTGAATGCTTGAAGGTGCTCTACCTAACCTAGGGAGATATTCTCTCTCCTAGGTCAAAAGCTCAATTGATAGTAGTGTGATCAAGACTCATGCAATTCATCATAAACATCAATCAAATAGATAATAGGAGTACTCAATCATAGGATTTGTCACATACAACAACATTCAAACCAAAATTTAGAAATTGGGTTGATCAACCTAAGTGAAGGACTCTAATTCATAGAGAAAAAGAGAGAGAATATGGTATATGGCTTAGAATCTTCAATCTTCAAGCTCCAATGGTGATTTGCACCTCCAAAACATCTCTAAGAACCCTCCTAGGTCACTCTCTCTCTCTCTCTAATTGACCCATGAGTGTTTGCGGTAAAAAAATCCAGCTCCCATTTCTCAAAACCTGTTGTTGAGAATTCATACCCGTAGCGGTGCACGTTTCATGATTTTGGAGTGATTTCCACGCCCTAGGCCGTGAAAAGTGTGCCAGTCGCGAAAAGGAGATGTGTTCCTGGAAAGGTGTGTGTTTTACATTTTTTATGCGATTTTCACTCCAAGAAACCTTGCAGAACCTCCAAGTTTTGGCTCGTTTGACATCCGAATTTCCCAAAACTTGTCCTCGAGCTTCCCACACTTATTGAGACCTGAAATATGACAAAAGAAGCACAATCCAACGTAAATTGGGTTCAGGAACGACGATTACCACGTCAAACAATCAAGATATGAAAGATAAAATATGTAAAATTAGCCTTAAACTGCCACTTCGCCTTCCTCGCGTAAACAATTTTGCCGAACTTTGAAAGATCGTAACTTTGTGCTACGCAGTCGGATCGTCACTTTTTTTTGCAATTTGCTTAACTTTTTAAGGAGTACATATATTTTTATAGAATTATTTTCAGAATTTATTTGAAAATTTAGAAATTAAATCTAAAGTCATTCTCAAAACCATTTAAATCCAAAAGTATCTCTCTTCTTTTGGAAATTTCTTCTTAGTAAACGTTGTATATCTAATTTTTTTGTGAAATCCAAAAATATTTTGCTACGATCGGATAAACGAGCGCAAAACTACAATCGTTTGAAGTTTTGACCTAAATTGGGGGTAGATCGCAACGGTTGTCAACGAACCAATTCGATGAGGTCAGCCACGAGCCATGGTGATTTTAGGACAATTTGCTTGACTTGACCACAATCCAGGCCCTGCATAAGCAAATAAGTGACATTTAGATGCAAATAATCTTTGTCTCCGAAGCCTAGTTTTTTTTATAGTGAAGTGTCAAGTGAACTACTGCCTAGTTCACTTGACACTAGAATGAAGTCCCCCAAACACTATTATTTTGTGAAATGGTTACCATGGTAATTACCAAACTAAATAAGTCAAAATTATATTAACCATGTAATACAATTTCATAATCAAACCGTACAAACTAATACAACCAAATTAGCCACACTAAAGTTTAATCGGTTTGGTTAATTGGTTAACCAGATTAACCAATAAAACATCACAATACCATTAAGTGAGAAAATTTTCGGTTAATGCATCAATTCACAATTTATATGATGAATAAAACATTACAATAAACACATATTTATAGTTAACCTTACAGAAATACGTGCAACTAATACAATTATCTCACAGTCAATTGAAAGTATTCACCTAATAAAAATATACGGAGTTAATTAACTTTTGTGATTGTGTGAATTGATTTAGTCTCTTGGCAATTATAATGTGTTGAAAAAGATCTTCCTTTCAAGTTTTTATCTAATATATTGTATGATTTTCATCTAAATTGGGCGTTCATATATCATGGTCTACACTCTACAAATACAAATTCACAATATATGAACAATATTGAGCTTTGTTGTTGATTAGCCTAAAAGGAAGGAATGTTTGGTTTTTTTTTTTGTGAGAGAATGTTTGGCTCTTTAGTGGTTATGCCAAGTATTTAGTATGTGCATATAATATATATTAGATATATGGATAATTACTTAACTGGTTAATTTGATTTGAATGGTTAGGATTGTTTGAAATCTAACAAAATCACCTAAACCAAACAAGTTATTTTTTAACCAAATCAAATCAAATCAAACCAATTATTCACATTAATCAAATCAGATTAACCAAAAACTAACAATTAAAACGATTATCACGATACCCACGCCGTTTGAACACCCTGCTAAGTACTGACCTCATCCTGGTTTCTGGACCATCAAACTTCATTCGCAATCATCTAAATTTGCCGGGAAATGAGAACGAAAGGAGGATTCAAAGGATTGCCGTTTACAAGGGGGAAAAAAGGAGACAAAACACGACAAACAAGTGGACAGGGCTACTAGCTTGCCACAACTCCAGACACCGGCTACGAAAATCCTCGGCTATCCGATAGTAATCAGTGATGAACTACCCTTTTCCAGGAAAATTCCAGTCGCTGAGAACCGATTGAAGGTTTAAGAAGTAGGAACCTAGCCTTATTTCATGCTGGGTTCGATGTCTTCTTCTGGAGATATATCGCTGGCCCTTAGGTCGGAGCTATTCAACTCCAGAGCTACCCTTTCAGCTACTTCGACGAGGCTGAACACTGCCACTGAGCCTGGCTTAAGCTCTTTGTGTTTTTTTTTTGTTGTTGTTTGCTCTCGCATCTTTTTCTGGGTTCCTGAACGTGAGTTTCAATCTTTTTTCTTTGTTTTCCCCTAAACGTGCAGGAAGCAGATGTGATACTAACAGAAGAGGGTTTGCGATGAAAGGAATTGTGACTCCTGGGGTTTCAGCAAATGGGTCAGCTGACCTTGCTACTGAGCTCGAGAAAGGTATGGTGGTTTTTTAGGATTGCTCTCCATTTTCTGTGTGTTGTAGAGGAAGGTTTGGTTGGGATCATCAGGTTTTGAATGGTTGTAGGAGTTGAGAGATTGTCGTTCAAGCCAGAAGGCTATAATTATTGGTCATGGAGAGGTCACAAGATACATTATGTAGTTGAAGGAGAAGGTCTTCCTATTGTTCTAGTTCATGGCTTTGGCGCTTCTGCTTTCCATTGGAGGTATTCTGCTGTACTGTAATCACCATTGACCGGAGCCCGCCTTTTGGTTTACACGGATGTGAATTGTGGTGGACTTTTGATTTCAAAGCGTAAAGGAAAAAACCACAACTGACAAATATTGAATTTCATTCCTGAGGAGTAGCAGTGCACGTAGTATAGATTTTTTTTTGTCGATACTGAGTTAGAGTATATTTCTTGTTATTAATTCCAGAAAGGAGGAAGTTAAGTTATTGAAGTGCTGCTCTTCCATAATCAACAGCTCTTGCTCCTTCTTTACATTCTCCCTCTTTGCCAGTAGTCTCTCTTTCCATGAATCCCATATTATTCACCCATACCTGCAGATATAACATACCCGAGTTGGCCAAAAAGTACAAGGTTTATGTTGTGGATTTGCTAGGTTTCGGATGGAGGGATCAAATAGTGGATTTTATGAAGAAGATAGTGAAAGAGCCGGCAGTTTTAGTCGGGAGTTTCATTTTTCTGCAAATTGATGAAAATTGAGGTGGAAGCCGTTCAAGGTTCATACTTAGCCTTCTTTGGTTTTGATTTCTCAGCGCCGGACCAGAGTACCAACTTCCAACACTATAATATGAAGTCTTTTGCTTGCTTTTCAGATGAATTATGTTGTATGTGGAGTTGATATTTTCATATCACAGGTATTAGCACAATGTAACTCATTATTCTTACTGTTCCAGCCTTGGCGGATTCACTGCTTTGGTTTCTGCAGTGGGGTTGCCTGACCAAGTTATTGGGCTTGTACTGCTAAACTCAGCTGGACAGTTTGGAAATCCGAATGCAGAGGCCAATAAGACCGAAGAGTCTGTTCTGCAAAAGTATCTTTTGAAGCCAGTGAAGGATGTTTTCCAGCGTATAGTACTCGGTTTCATGTTCTGGCAAGCCAAGCAACCAGCTCGTGTTGAATCTGTCTTAAAGAGTGTAAGTGCCATTCACCTCTTAATTTGAGAGAGGCCTCACATGAAATCTTTAGATGCTTTTGACCAACATCTTTGCTGCATATGAGGGTTTCTCAATGTGATATTGATGAATAAAGATTCAAGACTTTTCAGTTAGGCAAGGTTTATGTTTAGCACTAGCTTACCTTACAGCCTAATTCTTCATATCTGTGTTCATATTGGAAAAATCACTCTCGTTTCCCCCTTTAGTAGTTGTGGCCCTGATTCTGTGGCTTCAACCTTAACAGACTACAAACTGAAGAATCTGAATTTCAAGCATGTTGTTTGTATTTGCTCTCATGTGGTTGACAGAGGAGAATTCATCTTCAAATCCTTGATGATTATCCTACATATTCCTACTTCGATGCTCCCTTTTGATCTGAAAAATTCTGTGGCTCTACTTCTCAGGTTTATATAAATAAATCCAATGTGGATGACTATCTTGTTGAATCCATCACTCGTCCAACTGCTGATCCCAACGCTGGAGAAGTCTATTACAGGTTTGTCATTGCTGATGTCTATATTATTTTTGACACAGTCCACCTGCTTGCCTTGAACTTGACTGCCTGATTTGTTTGTCTATTTGTCTTGAACTTTGTGCTCATTAAGTACCATTTGTTGGGGTGGATAATTTGTTGTTTCCTTTGTCCTGAACTTGTTATCCATTATCTCTGAACTCCTTATGAAGAATGTACAATAGTATCGTTCAGGACTGGTTTGTCTATTGCTCCTAGTCTCTATCTTCTACCCAAATCAGCTCAAGAAGCCACTCATCATTTAGTATGACATTTGGTACACTTAATTGCTAATGGTCAACAATTTGCTTGCTGATGATTGGTTTGATTTGCTTGGTCTGAGCTTAGCAGTCCTATTCTGAAATGAAGAATCTCTGAGCCCTCCAGAAATGTAAATTCCTGCAGATTAATGACGGGATTCATGTTGAACCAAAGTACCTACACTTTAGACAGCGCTTTGAGCAACCTCAAATGTCCCCTTCTACTGCTGTGGGGCGACTTGGATCCATGGGTGGGCCCTGCCAAGGCTAATAGGATCAAGGAGTTCTATCCAGACACAACAGTTGTGAACTTTCAGGCTGGCCATTGTCCCCACGATGAAGTCCCGGAGTTGGTTAATCAAGCTCTAATCGAATGGTTGTCTTCTCTAAGACCAGAACCCTTCCAACAAGCACTGTAAAGTCTTCTGGTAACTTTTTGCAGCATCGCCGACTGTTTACTATAGTTTGTATATTCCATTTTTGTCAACATAGCTCCCTTGCTTGTTCTTCTGAGTAAAAGCTGAAAAGGACATTGCTCTGTAGTACTTGTCAATTGTCATCGATCGATTGATACGACGATACTCACCAACCTTATGTGTAAGACACAGAAGGATAGTGCCAAGGAGGGCGACTGGCATCTTGTTGATATTATTTGGAACAGTTCAAATGACTAAACTCGCAGTTTCCAGGTGACTGGTGTATCATTGTCGTGAGAGTATGAACGGGGAGATTGGTGTCAAAATCATGAATCATTCAGAGAGCAGACCTGAGCTGACTTGATCAAAGCAAAGAGATGTTTTTGGTAACTGCCAATTCAAAGAGACGATGTTGCCTTGGCAGTTTTGTCGGTTAGTGTGATCAGTTTGGCGCTTTCGGCCATTGGCTTTGGGAGGGAGAGAACGACGAGTGTAATCTCCTCAGAAATCATGTTGACTCTACCAGATGCTTTCAGCCACAAATTCCTTCTAACCTTGAAGGGAAGCTATTTGGTGTATTGGAACATTGAATAAGAAATGGGGATGAGTTTACAAGAACAGAAATGTGGAAGCTGTTTTGACTAAATACTAAAGCATTATCTAAACGGGAACATGCCATTGGTGGCCATTCCTCCGCGATTGATTTTGTCATGCATAACTATCACTGTATTTCTTTCTTTTTTTGTGAGAATTATCACTGTATTTCAAATTTCACAACAAATTTTTTTCCACATAATATGACATCTACTTCGATATATTTTAAAAAAATAAATAAAAATATTTTCTTACGATAATATAACATGGTGATAGGTAGGAGTGTACAATGGTTCAGTTTGTCTGGAGACGGACCAAACTCATAAGTAACACGGTCCAATATTGAAAAATATTTTAGGACTAAGGACGGGACCAACATTGCGTTCGATCCGGTTTGGTCTGGTCCAAATGTCAATGCAATCCATTTTTCTTCAATATTTATAGAATTCATGGGACCAAGGACATGATTATGTTATATTCGGTTCTGTATGGTATGGTCATAACGTCACTTTGGTCTGATGCAATCACGTACTAACTAACCTGTTGGGGTGGGTGCAAAAAATCATATAATCGGAATATGAAAATATATATGGTGATAGAAATATAAAACAGTATAGAATAGTGATATACATGGTGATATGGATATTCTAAACACCATCTATCATCATCTACCACCCTATGCCACTATGGTATAGGATGACATATTTTTTTCAAAATATACTAAGAACTGACATCTAAATCACAATGAACATTTTCCTTATATTCCTTATATACAAGAAATTCCAAAATGATTGTAGATGGAGGACAACATGTAGTAGGAAACTTTTACAAATGGATTTCATTTAGTATATCACAATGATCCAATACATTTTAAATAAAAATTCAAAATCAAAGTTAATAAAAATGAAATATAACTCAATTTAAAAAATATTTTTAATCTCAACTATCAAATATGAGCCTAAAAAATAAAGGGAACAAAATTTTTTATTCTTTTAATCCTGCACATTAATGTTGTTATTGGATTGCTCTGTCCAACTTCTTTGTTCTGCTAATCGAGCTGGCTTAAAAAGTCTTTCGTGTTAGGTTAAATTAATGTCATTTTAATTGTTTGTTAGTCGGATAAGAATTGAATTATAATTTTTACCTTTTTAACAATTATACCTTTGCTAATTTCAAATTGAAACTCTAAACAAACACACTCCTAAATCCTAATACTGAATTAGGCATCTTCTTCCTTCACCGCTGGTGGCTGCCATCTTCCTCCACCATCCCTTCATACTACGGATGGAAATCGGTACAGTTCACTATCCCGGTACCAAATACTGAAATTCCGAATATTGAATTATACGCTAAAATCAATTTCAATTGGACCACTCCATCAAATCTTTGAGAAGGGGGCCAATTTCGTATGTGATGGTCAGCGCGGCAATAGGCTTCGCTTCTACGACTGTCTCCCCCGCTGATCTCAATCCCAAGATATTTCAGTATTCCAATTGATAATCTCAAATACGAAACTAATTAACTTTGCAATTAATAATAATCAAATATATATAAATATATAATGGTTAGAGAACCCATAATCCTGAGCATTTTATATAGTGTAGATTTGTAGGGTTAACTTCGTGATTGAATTTTTTATTATGAGAATTTGAGATGAAAAAAGTCTAATAAATACTAATCGAAGTCATCATTGATGGCATTCAATCAAGTCTTCATTGAACTTACTCATTATAGGTCCCCCATTGAGCGTAAAAAGACTAGGAAAATGGTCTTGAGTTCGTCTAGAGCTAGGACGTGGACGAGGAGAAGGGGGAAGAAGGTGGTATCTCAATTTTTGTCATTGGTAATATTTAATTCGATGGGTTGGAGTTTGAGAGACGACTAAGGAGAGTGTTTGCTTTTTGGTGTCATAAATAACAAGAGACTAAGTGAGAGATGGGAGTGATTTAAATTGTAAAGCCAAAATTGGGTTGGGTAGGGGCTTGTGAGTTGTCAAAGAGTGAGTAAAGTATGTGTGGTATATTCATTTAATTTTTAATTTTTGCTGCTTCTCGTTATTTTGGCATATACCAATCTCAATCTCGTAATCCTGAATACCAAATAACACTCCAAAATAAATCTCAATCCTAATCTCTAAAAATAAATTGGCATTTGGTGATACCAAATAGTGATAATTAAATATGATATTTGGTATATCCCAAATAGGAAAATAGCGATACCAAACTTCCATCCCTACAAACTCGGGGAAGTCAAACTCGTTAGGCTTCACAGTGAGCTGGAAGAGATCGTCGGGGTAAAAACAATAATCGAAAACAGAGACGACAAGGAGTCATGGTAGCTGGAATTTATGGATAAAGACGAGGATGGTGATGAATAGCAGTTGGAGTAGTACCCAGAGGTAACAACATTTTGGAAAGAAAGCCTAGATATCTGGGTTGTTCTCATTCATCTCAAAGTATATATATGGATTGCATGTAAACGAAAAGGTGAAAGAGATAGAGTAAAAGAAGAGGAAATTTGAATTGTTAAGTTACTGTGTTCCCTTTTGCGCCAAAGAGTTTCATGAAACAAAGTCGCACCAGCTAATGTGTTGCATCTTCGCTTGGGAATCACACGGCTCACATTCGAGTCCTGCAGGTGAATTTTTTGTTGTTGTTAGCCCCCGCAAGCTAGTGGCCAGAGTACTTGCACACCAAGCTTGGAGAGATGGTAAGAAAATGTAATAGGGGATAAGGGCTTGGTGAAGATGTCTGAAAATTGGTGATAAGTAGACACTTGGAGAATCTTGATGACTTGAGCGTACAACTTTTTTTGAATAAGATGATAGTCGATTTTTAATGTGTTTGGTGCTTTCATGATAAGTGGGATTTTCTGCAATGTAAATCACATACTAATTATCATAGTAGATATTGACAGATAGTGGACGAGACACTCTGAAGTCCTTGATAAGTACAATAGTCATTGAACCTCACAAGTGGCATAGGCTAAAGCTCTATACTCTGCTTCACAAGAGGAATGAGAGACAGTATGTTGTTTCTTGCTTCTCTATGAAATTAATGACTCTCCACGATAGACAAAGTTACAATTAATCGAGCATCCTGTGTTTGGGTAGACATCCCTATCTAAATCCTTGTAGAATTTTTTTTAGGTGAAATATGAAATAGTTGAGAAAGAATAAACTAGAAGTTGGTACTAATTTGAGATATATGAGAACTCAGAGCAAAGCTTTTGAATGATCTTCACTTAACTACCAGTTTTCTAGAAAACATCAGGAATATCGTGTTGAGCCATTAAATATGTCTTGTAATCCACAGTTGTTGTGAATAGTGGAGAGAGAAGTACAACAACTTCACAATAACATTGAATGTATATTTCCTTTGTGTCGAATGAATACTAGATGGAAATACCTCAATTCCCAAAAAGAACTTCAAATTACCTAGGTCTATGATGTTGAAAGACTGATGAGAAAATTCTTTAAATGAGTACTTAATTAGTAGCATTCCCGCTAATGATGAGATCATGTACATAGATCAGGATGCAAGTGTATGAACTAGAACACACCTTAAAAAGGAGAGAATGACCAACTTTGCTCGATTGGTAGCCTTGTGTTTAAAGACAGACAACCAATTTTGCAAACCACTGTCTTGATGCCTATTTGAGGCCACATAGATATTTGTGGAATAGACAAACTGCATTTGGGGTGCTAGGCGGAGCATTGTATCCTGGAGGAACTTTCATGTAAACCACTTTATTGAGGTCACCATGAAGGAAAGCATTATTAACAACTAATTTATGACAATCCAGTTCCTAGCTGCTGCAATGGTAAAGAAAAGTCTAATTGTACTCAGCTTGATAACATGATCAATTGTTTCCAAATAGTTTACACATCATGTTGAATATAGCCTTTAGCTATCAATCTTGCCTTGTGCATTTCTAGACTACCATCATAACTAAATTTTAAATAAAACACCCATTTGTTGCCAATTGGTTGCTTATTGGGTGGCAAGCTCATAACAAACCATGCATGGTTCTTCACGTGAGCATGGAGTTCTCACTATACGAAATTGTCCCATTAAGGACTACGTACTTCCTCTTGATATGTATCACATTTATTGTCAGAATATATGAGAAGAAAAAATTAATGATGAGGAATAAACATTGTGATACATAATCAAGAATATCAGAAAGAGGATAAGTAATACCTGCATGATGGGGCCTTGAAGTATGTAGTGGAAGCAAATAATTTTGCATAAAAAATAGCCCCCTAAGTCACTCCTGATCTTTTGGACAAAATGATCAAAATTTTTCCCTGCAAGTTCGCAAAACTCCTGCAATTTTGGTCTGGCTTCATATTTGTTTTCTATGAGAATAATTCAAGTTCTTCGATTGAAATCATCTACTATGGTTAA